ATAGAATAGAATAGAATAGAATAGAATAGAATAGAATAGAATAGAATGAAAGGGGAGTGAAGGGAAGGGAAAGGAACAGGAGTAAAGGGGAGGGGAGGGGAGAGAAGAGAAAAGAGAAGAGAAGGGAAGGGAAGGGAATTCTTTATTGGTCAGGTGTGGTTGGACAGACAAGGAATTTGTCTACTCATGATGATAGCATAGAGTTGGTGCTTTATTAGATGTTTTTGTTGCTATTTGTCTTCCAGAATTTGCAACTCAGATTTACAAATAATGCTTTCTGCTTTCTGAAACATGCATCAATTCAGATCCTCCAAGATCAAAATTGACTGTACTGTATATAATAAGAAGCTAGATAAAATTCTTGACTCTGGGATCTGCCCAGAATTTAAAAAGAAAAACAGTAAAGCTGGATTTAGATTAGTCGAGTTCAGATTTAGACTTTGTTAAATCCACATGCAGTTAAACTAAAAAAAAAAAAAAAGAGGTTCTCTGTAACAACTGGCTTGGGGTTGTTGCTTTGTTGTTATAGATATTGCTCTTGGTTTGTTCTTTTGTTGTAATCTGATCAATGGTTTACATTGTGGTTTCTAGCTCACTTTTATCAACTCTCTGTCTTTGCCATAAAGAAGCAACTTGCAAGCAAAACTGTAAAATGGAAGGATTATGGTTTTCTTCAGGGAGACCTTGAATGATATTAAGCCTCTGATTCATTTTTTTGTATCCCACCTTTATTATTTTATAATAACTCAAGGCAGTGAATATACCTAACACACTTTTTTTCTTCCCCACAACAACAACCCTGTAAAGGTGGCTTGGGTTGAGAGAGGGTAACTGGCCCAAAGTCACTCAGCTGACCTTCATGGCTAAAGTGGGACTTAACTCATGATCTTTCACTTTTTAGCCTGGTGCCTTAACTGCTAGACCGTACTTGCTCTCTGTTTAATTGGATTAAGCAGCAAAACAGCATTTTGTTTTTGTTTTTAATGTTCTATTTTATTGTCTCATTGAATACACACAAATAATAGCATTGCTCAGTTGGGTATCTAGGTTCCAAATTAGTTCAGTCTGAGTGAAATGTAAGTGTTCTCCACTAATATAAGAAATGTTGACAGTTTTATCTGCAAGTGTTATGCAATTTTTCCTCTAAGAAAACAGTGCTACTTTTTCAAGATGACTTAGAATTAATTTCCTCCCACATTGGAAGATGTTGCTTTAGATCAGATATTTGCAGGAAAATGGTCTAGCAATCTGCAGTTTCTGCTATGCCATTTGGCTCAGCAATTTGGTAGAAGGGACTTCATCAGGTTGGCTGCCTCTTCAGGAATCACATTCCACATAAGATGTCCATATATTAGATAGCAATAAAAACATCTGTCAGAAACCAATAGCTAATCAAAGATAACTGTGACACCCTATTAATATAAAGCTTCATTAGCTTCATAATGCATCTTGCAAACTTAGGGTAACCTCAAATAAGTTGGTTAGTCTTTGTATGGGCGACCATAAAAAAATACCAGGGTTATATCTTGGACATTTTAAATTGCAAAAACCAAGAACAAAAATATAATAGCCTATAAGAAAGCAATGTCAAATCACTTGTGCATTGTTGCCAAAAAAAATTACACAGACTTGTCTAGGAAGTCACTCGGAATCAAGCTTAACCTGAAGCATCTCTAATCCTCTATTTCACAGAGATAAAGGTAGAGCAAGTGTTTTTAGAGAGACCAATTACAACAAAATCTCAGTTGCCAGACAATTGAATAATGTGATGACAATGAGCATGCTGGCAGAGTTTAAAATGTTCAGCTATAAGAAAATTGCACTGAAACTTTGAGACATTGAAAACAGAGCTCCATTGTTGGTTTCCTCTTAAATTATCTTGTATAATGCAAATCACAAGAGTTGAGGATGGGAGATTCTTATGATATTAACGCTTCCATTCCCTCAGAACAAACTTTTCAGTCTAAGTCTCCAGGGCCAATTCACTTTTCAGAAGTCAAGATTGTATATCAGCTCAAAGGTATTGTCAAGAGGTACCAGGTGCTTTAAAGAATATCTCTGTGAAATAGAGGATTAGAAGACTGTCATAGAGAGCTTGATAAATGGGTACTTTGCCAATAAGTCAAGTCACCTTGAAAGGGCTTGAAAGATACAAAGCAGGAAAGAATACGTGGAGCATGAGGGCTCAAAGGGGAAGGTGAAAATCTGGTTTTACTATAACAGGAGAAATGAATATTTCTAAAAATGCTATTTAGATTATATTTATTATAGTTTATCCAGTGTTTCTCAACCTGAACAAATTTAAGGTGTATGGATTTTAACTCCAAAAATTCCTTTGCCAGCATATTGGCTGGAAAATTTTGGGAAGTCCACATACTTAAAAAATTGCCAAGGTTGAGAAACAATGGTTTACGCCCTAGTCTGAAACTGAAGAACCATACATTGCTTTTCTTCTCCAATAATTCTGAGTGACAGCTATCAAAGTCAGCCAAAAAAAAAAAAAAGGTGATGAGTAACTGAGTAAGAGCTACCAGAAACACTCATGACTCCAGAGAAGTGCAGATACAGAAAGTAAGACAATGTCTCAGCCAGTCCTTGAGTATTGAAGATTTGTCTTTAAATGAATCCAAACTCCAGCTCCTCTTTAGGACAATGATGGTTTATTCAAAATATCAGCAAACAACAAATACTCTAATCAGGCAAGAATGGCTAAAAGCCAGGGAAGGTAAGTGTTGGGGTTGAGTTTGCTCACTTTCCTTTTACTATCATTATCATGAGGCACATCCCACCACACCCAGGCCTATACGCAGTTCTAGATCTGACCACGCCTAACCTATTATCTATTAATTCTATTAACCCTATAACATGTCTACATCCCTAACTTATTCCGACCCTCACTAACTGATCCCCACCTGATGCCACCTTCACCATGTCTTAACTCAATGCTTAATTACCACCTATATGTGCCCCAACTTCCTCTAATAATATGCATCACATCAATACATGAAAAAAGCCATTTCCAGCCCTTCAGTTGTTTCAGAATCCATCCTTTATCCCACAGTTGCTTCAGAATCCATCCTGCAGCTCACAGCTCTGCTGAGTCGTTCTAAAGCAACCTTCAACATCATCTGCTAGCACACAATACAGATCCGTCAGCAGAGCTAAGGTGATATTCTCTTGCTGCAAGGTGTGTTAGGAGCTGACGGCTCAGTAGCTAACTCAGAGCCCGACACAATGATTAGCAAAGAAGGCTATAATGCTCCAAGTTCTAGAAACAACCTTTCACAGAAGGATTGAAAAAAGCAACAGCAATGTCTTAATAGGGTTGGCATGGTATACTTCTTATCATTCAGCCTATCCTGGTGTTCTCTTTACTAGTGTTGGAAGAAATATCCTTCTGGGTTCAGTTCCAAGTGGGGAAAAAGACAGTGGAGGCTGTTAGGAAAGATGGTTTAATGGTGGACAGTAGGACCACATGGCTTGAAGCTCCAAAGAAGGATGATCACATGCTCCAAGGTGAAGGAAAAGAAAAGGAATGATATGCTAAGAGTGCTGAGAGTTTTATAACCTTTGTTGGGATTTGAATTGAAGCTTATATTCTGATTGTTTGTCAGACTCCCATGGGGCCATGCAGGGGCAACTCTGTAGGCTTTCCTGAGTTCCAGACTTGGTTGAGCTTTGCTGGATGATGCACTGAAACGGGCTTTTGGCAATTGCTATAACTTTACCTGGAGATCTTTGTTATGTAAAGTATTCTGGCCCAGGCCTTAATGGCCCACCCATTAACAAAGGTGGGAGTGAGTTTCTGCTTCTGAGGTGAGTTTCTGCTCTTGAGTTTCTACTCTTTGTAGGGGAAACATTCTGCCTTTTTAATATTTCCTAGGATATTTCAATTTTCTAGGAGAGATGTGGATGCTAACTTCCTACAGTAGTTACCCTATGATTATTATTCTAATACAGGGGTGTCAAACTCGATTTCATTGAGGACCATATCAGGGTTGTGTTTCACCTTGAGAGGCCAGGTGGATAAGGCCAGGGTGGACATGGCCAGGGTGGGTGTGGCCAGCTCAATGTCACTCATTGAGACCGTTTTTGGCTGTGATGGCCCTTCCAGCCTCCATTTTGGGCCACGACAACCTCCTGCAACCCTCTATCATGTGGTCTCCCCAAGCTCCATTTTCATTGGCAGAGGGTTGCAGGAGGCCATCGTGGCCCAAAACAGAGCCCAGGAGGGCTGCGTGTAGCCCTCCCAAGATCCTTTTTGCTGGCAGACACACCACAAGCCAGTCCTCCACTGTTTTCAGGGTGGGCCATGGGCCAGATAGAAGCACCCCATGGGCCAGATCTGGCCTCTGGGCCTTGAGTTTGATACTCCTGCTCTGATAGAATTCTTACAGTAGACCAGGGGTCTTCAAACTTGACAGCTTTAATTCCTCTTCCAGTCATGTTAGCTCAGGAATTATGGGAGTTGAAGTCCACAAGTCTTAAACTTGCCAAGTTTGAAGAACCTTGAAGTAGACATTCTTTTACCAAATTGTGAAGTACAAGGGGGGGAAAAGGCATTGACTTCTGACTGTTTTAGCAGAGTACAAGATAAAAACAATCCAGCCTCACCTTTTTGCTTTTATACATTAATATATAACTAGCCATTTATATAACAACAAATCTATTTGATCGACAAAATCAAAGTTTCATGAATTGGCAATTTATGATGATTACAGTGTCCTAGGGTCATGTGATCACATTTTCTGATCTTCTGACAATCAAAGTTAATGGGGAAGCCAGATTCACTTAACAATCATATAACTCTAACCCTAACTCTGATTTAACAAATGCAGTGATTAAATTAACAGTTGTGGCAAGAATGGTCATAAAATGGGGCAAAATTCACTTAATAACTGTCTCACTCAGCAAGAGACATTCTGGGCTGGTAAATCAAGGATTTCCAATTTAGATACATTGAGACATGGGGCTCAAAAATGGGACTATAGCTACATACATTGATAGCAGTGACGTGCCTTTTAATCAGTTAATTAAACAATAAAAACCAAAAGATGACTATGCTAAAACAACATCAAAATAATTAAAGACTAAAACAGCAACAGCAGAAGCCATATTTAAATAACACTCATGAGTTCCTTCAAAAGTAGGCTGAAACCTATGTCTTACGCTTCTTTTGAAAAACCAGCAAGGCAACCAATGAATTTCCTATTTACAACTTCTAAAAATATTTGCTATAATGATTCATCTTATGACAAGACATTGTCAACTCCAGTTGTTGATTACTTTTTGACAAAGTTTCCATGATGGCACTCAACTCAGGATGTGATCTTCAACAGAAAAAATATTATTTAAGAGGTGGACCTAGGACACATAAGGCTGTAAGCATTAACTAAATCTTTTTTAGCAGTCTGAAATATTATTAGCAAGCATTTCTCTTCAATGTGTAGTATTTTTCTTATAGCCAAATGCTTTCTTCAAAAGGCTGCCAAATTTACAAATTTACTCTTTTTTTTCACTCTTCTCTTCTTCCCATGTACAGTGCCATGTCTATTAACAGTGCTAAATAAAACTTCTTTGGCCATAACTCTAACCCTGTGAAGACAGCATGGCTGGTATACTGAGCAAAACAGAAAGTTGGCCTTTTAAGCAATAACTCCAGGAGTAATATGACCCTATTCAGCGTAGATCATCTAAAGTCCGGCCTTGTGACAATTTACTTCCCTGACAGTTTTCTATTTCCCCTTTCTTAATTACCACATTTCTCACTGGGATATTTTGTACTGGTCTTCTCAGGTCGGATTTTTTGTGTGTGTGAATTGGTGGCATTTATTTTCCCTCCAAAAGACTGGAATTAATCTAGTCTAGTTCATTACCCTCATCCTTACTCCAGTTGTAATATTGCTTGTCTGGCAAGACAGTTACTTCCTTTCCTTCTAAGTCATTAGTTAGTTTACTATTGTGCTCAAAAACAAAACAAAACAAAATGAGATTGTATTCTATAACTGACACCATATGCTCAGTCCTAATTGGAATGTTTGAGTAGTCTAGATATTTGTTCTGCTTGTATTAGCATCTTAATGTGGCCATGGAGTCGAATGGGTAACTTTCCATTCTGCATATTTTTAGCATCTGAGTGCCTCTTTTTCCATGTAATTTGTTGGAGTGAAAGTAGAAATAGAAACCTGATTTTGGCTCTCTGCACCAAACCAATTACATTCTAGAAGCAGTTGCATTTTATATGCTGAACATGCTTAAAAATAAAATAAATAAGGACAGTCTTGATCTAGCCAAACATTTTCAACTCTCTACCGGCATTTGATTGGCTTAGAAAATAGTCCTTTTATGCCAAATCTAATTGAACCCTGAACACTAATTTATTTCAATGTCTGAAAGTTAAGTTCCCATCAAGAGAAATGGGACTTAATAAAGTACTTCTTTGGGCAAGAATTTGCTTGTTGCAGGGGTTGCCCTATGTGGTGTTTTAATGTTTCCTGTCATACGCCTTAGAAAAATTAGATGGAAACCAATGTAGTTATGTGTGGTTTCAAAAGCTTTATCTCCCATCTTTTAATTGTTTGCTTGTATATTGATTGATTTAACCATGCATTTTATTATTGAGACATATATATTTGTTTGCATAGACTTTGGAATGTGTACATGCCATTCAACAGAACAAGTATATTTCCTTTTCATTCTAAATTGTTTTCCTTGTAATTGTTGTTCCCTCCCCATACTGTTTTTCCTCAACAGTGAAATAAACAAACAAACAAACGAACAAGTGAGCTGTAAATCTGTGTGACAAATGGTGTAGCGAGCTCTAATCCCTTTCCTTCTATTTCACTTGTCATCTAATCTCCTGCACCGGCTAAAACAGCAACATAAACTCATGTTTTATATAGGTAGGGTAGCCATGCCTATGTTAATGACTGAATAAATTGTCACTCTGAAATATTTGACATGATGCTCATTTGCAATTTTTCAAATAATCCAATCAGCCATTGGAAAAAGACAAGGCTGCACTATAATGCTCATCCAAATCTCTACTTTTAAGGGGCTTTCAGGAATGACATAACTCTTTATAATTCTCTGTCAAAACATATTTTCAGTGAGGGGAATATAGCTTGGTTGACATGCCACACACTGCAGTCCATGTCAGAGTCATATGTATTCCCTTACAATTCTGTGATTACTTTAAGGAGACAATTGACTTGTATGGTTGCAAGCACTGTGCCTCTGTGAAGTTAATTTTGTATGGAACTTTTTCTAATAAATATTTTGGTTTTGAAAAGGTGTCCTGGGAATTCCATTTTCAGTGGTATTCTCAGGAGACTTTTTCTAAACCAAAATGTTTATTAGAAAAATTTCCATACAAAACTAAGTTCCCAAAGGAAAGGAGCATGCAATTATACAATAGTTGTTAATTTAATCTTGCGTAGCTTTTTCTCTGGTAATATTGCACTGCTAACTAGAGCATACAAAACATTTGCTAGACCAATTCTCGAATACAGCTCATCTGTCTGGAACCCACATTGCATATCGGACATTGATATAATTGAGAGAATCCAGAGATATTTCACGAGAAGAGTTCTCCACTCTTCTGCTCACAACAGAATACCTTATACCACCAGACTTGAAATTTTGGGTTTAGACAACTTAGAACTATGCCGCCTTTGGTCTGACCTAAGCATAGTACTTAAAATTATCTGCTATGATGTCCTATCTGTCAATGACTACTTCAGCTTCAACCACAATACATGAGCACACAATAGATACAAACTTAAGGTTAACTGCTCCAAACTCAATTGCAGAAAATATGACTTCAGCAACAGAGTTATCAATGCCTGGAATGCACTACCTGACTCTGTGATCTCTTCCCAAACCCCCAAAACTTTAACCTTAGACTGTCTACTGTTGACCTCACCCCATTCCTAAGAGGTCTGTAAGGGGCATGCATAAGAGCACCAATGTACCTACCATCCCTGTCCTAATGCCTTCTTTTATTCATACCCATTTAATGTACTCATCCGTACCCATTTCATGTACTCATAATCATGTTCCTAATTATATCTATTATCTAAAACATGCTTGACAAAACAAACAAATAAAAAACAATAAAAGTAAATAAAAAATAAATAAATTTGAATACTCAAGAAAAGAAAACAAACTGATGGGTCATCGAAAAGGTCAATCCAAAGTTCCACTCAAAGCACAAATGATCATCCTCAAATTATCCTACTTCTAACACACATTTTCAGATCTAGCAATCTGAAAAGGCTCTAATGCCGGGAAAGGTGGAAGGAAAAAGAAGAGGATACCAGCAGCAAGGTTGATGGACAAGTCATTCACAATGGGGATGACTGCATTATTGGAAGACTTGAAAGAACAAGTAAGGAATAGTTTGTCATGCAGAAGACCTATACATGAAGTTGATCAGAATTAAAATAACTTCATGGCAGATAATCAACACACTCTCTCTCTCTCTCTCTCCCTCTCTCCCTCTCTCCCTCTCTCCCTCTCTCCCTCTCTCTCTCTGTATATGTGTGTATTTGTACTATTGTTGTGAGCTGCAGTTGACTTTGTCAGATGTATAGACTGACTAGACTCATGACAGATTTAAATTGGGATGACATAAAGGAAAAAAAGACACGCTGGTTAGGCAGATTCAAGTTAAACATGGGATAAATTGATGATGATGAAAAAACATGATGATGGTGATTGACAAATGAATGATGGTGCTGTAGTGGTCATGGATACAATTTTTTTTA